CCTTTCACATCACTGCTTACCCAGCAAGAAGTCTGGCCAAAGCAAATCTGCAATCAACATCAGATACAGAAACACCAATGAGTCCAATGCACATGTAAGACTTCAGAGTGAAAATTAAAAGCCGCACGACTATCCTGGGAAGCTTTCATCCCCACATCATGACACTGTTGAACATCCCATTCTTAGCAAGTTATTTATTACAACATAAGCGTGTCTAGTCCTTTTGAGGATAAGACAGGAGGGAGTTAAAATCCCAAGTATTTTAGCTTTTTTATTTCATATGAGTATGTTACAGACTCTTTATGCAACTTAGTCCCTGCATAATTGGCAGCAGGGACAGAAAAGGAGCACTGGCTCTTATTTCTGGAATTATATCTCATATACTGAAATAAAAAATGTCACCCTAGCCATACAAACCACTATCAAAACCAAAAGAAAACCTTCCCGATGCAGTGTGGCACAAACACACACCACACTGGGGCTGCTACTTTAGAAACGTGTAAACATCCCTCAGTTGAAAGGATTACACAAAGAGAGAAATAAATACAAGACACGACCAACTTGAATCCTGGAACAGTCTCACATGACTCAGAATTTTTTCTTCTCAACATTTATGCAGAGTGAAAGCACTGCACACAACCTTAATTAAACATAATTTTCTATTCTACACCTCTGCAAACATCTGCCTTCGGTATTAACAAGGCTGTATTTTATTACTTCCCAGCAGATTTTAAGTTCTACTCTGGATCATGCCATACTGACAGCAAACATTTTGAAGAAAGCTACGGAACGAATGGTACAAGCAGTTTCAGAAGATCTAGCTAAAGTTAAAAGAAAGCAGCTTTAATTACCCACTTTCAAATGCTGTATCGTTTTGCTGATTGATACTGAAGCATCAGTATCTCTACAAATATGAAATGATAAATACAAAGATCAGAAAGTCAGCTAGCTGACTTGGTTAGCTTTTCTGTAGCTATCAGTACTAAACCAAACCAGAGCATATTGGTATTACACATGTTCACACAGTTTCAGAACTGGAAAACAAATTCCTAATTCTACTGAGAGTCTTCAGTATGTTGGCTAACCCCCATTACTATGCACAGCTACTTTCTTTGAGTTTTCATTTAAGACAGCTTAATAAATATTGGCTTAAACAAGCAAAGGTAACTTTTTGACTTCTTATCCCTTCCCACCCCCCAATAGGAGAATAAAGCTCAGTGATTACTACGTGTATTTTCTTCCTGAACCTTTACAGCAGCTGCTTAAGCACAACAAAGGGAAACAGCCTCTGCACCTGGGACATAATAAGCATTATGCTCACATACCAAGTTGTAATTAAAATTTTTAATTATTTTGTTTTTAGAGTGCCCTACATTGGGATCTGTTTTTAAAGGACTTCGTTGCACATCTCACTAACTGAGTAATACCATCTGTTGTCTAAGTACTCCTAACAACTAAATTGTCTGTTTCTTCCATGCATTGTCCTTACCCTGTCAGATACGTTTAGCTTTGAGAATTTATGTTATAGTAAGTAAGTTGGAAAACTTTAAGATACTGTAAAATACAGTGGGCCAAGAGGAGTCATATATTATCTTCCTTTTGAAATCCATTTAAATGCAGTTATTACAAGCAAGTTAACGGCCTTACATTATCAGGGATGTTACTCACTGAAGCTATTCCCAAGTATATATGAACTGATGGAAATCATGATAAAAGTGACAATGCATTGCTTACAAAAAAAGACAGTCATTTTGCAGGGAAACCCGCGTGGTTTCATCAGTTGATGGATACAGAGATAACCCAGACTTCATTCATGCAAGCAGTGACACCTAAACTTGCTGCTGTGTACCACTGATTTGCTAGCCTAAGTCAACAGCCTTTTTTTTCAGGGCTTCTTCCACACTTGACAGCCAACAACATCATTAACCTTTCTTTTCTTTGTATATTCTTGTAACTTGATTTGCCTCTGCTTATTATCCATGGTTTTGCTTTATTTAGCTTAAGACAACAGCACAGGTGAACAGCTTGCTAGCCTTTGAAGTTGCTAGATTAATGTTTGGAATGTTCCTATTATTACTTTGCAAATTAACTTAAAGTAATTGCTATAGATTTCCTAGATCCAATTAAAAAAAAAAAAAAAAAAAAAAAAAAGAGAGAGATTAATCTTTACGATAGAAATCTTCCCACACCACAAGAACAGTTAGACCCTTTGCTTATCCTGGGTCACTGTCTGAACCCAATGTCCCAGGCCTGACAGCAAATGCCCAAGAAAAAATTACAAAACAGCAGACAAGCATGTAGTGGTATTTCCTTAGAACATTCTCCAGCAAACTGAAAGCTCAGAGCCCGTCCCAATCAACAGTAATGTCTTTAATAGCCCCAAAAAGACTTTTTTCTCATGTATGTCAAGGTTTTTGCCCCCCCCAATAAAACAATTTAAACATGCTATTACTGCACCATGTCTCACTTCTTTTCCTTTTGATCAAGGATCCTATTCCAGCCATTCTTGACATGGAAATCATTCCATACCTTTGATTTTCCTTTTCATCATCTCTGCATCTTGTCCAGATTTCTAGGTTCAACTTAAGAAACACTAAAGAGATTTCCAAGTGCAATTTATCTAGGGGAAATCAGACCAACATGTGCTTATGTGATTCTGGGCCCACATGTATGGGCTAGGTAGCTATTTTAAGATATATAAAATGAAAACAGGAACTTTCAAAATTATAATATACCTTCTACATTTACTCTAAAATATTAGGGTTTGGGGGGATAAATTTATCTTGATACAACTCTTTCCAATTCTTGATCTTGATAAAACAATTTTTGATCTAGAAAAGTAACCAAGATCATCCTTGGGAAAACAAGTAAGTATCTTTACAAGAAATCCACTACCACCACCACCACCCCCTTCACAAGCTCCTGCGACAAACCAGGAGCTGTTTTCACCTACATATCGCTGTCAGATTTCTTTTCTTAAAGCATCTCTCTTAATCCATCTTTACAGTAAGTTTTGGCTTTTCCTTCTAGAAACAATGGGTGATAGATTCCAGAAGTCAAGTGTCCTAAGTCTCATCAGCTATCAAATTTTGAGCTGGTGATAGCACTTAGACTTTTTCCAAGTGTCTGCTTCCAGCTTTGCTGAATACACAGAAGTAATCCAACATTTCAAGCTAGTATTTCTGCAACTCTCAACATCAATACAATGGATTTTATATACTACTGTATTTCAATTATTTCAGTCCTTAAGTAGGACACTTTGATAGCAGGTTTTTTTTCTGTATTTATTGTTTTTAAGTTTTCAGAGTATGAAAAAAAATTGCAATTACGTACAGCTTTTACACTGAACTTGGGTGGTTCTTGCCCAAGTGTAAGGACTCCTAAGTTTAATTGTTTAACACTGATTTCAAAGTGTGCATCTTTACTAAACAAGTGTTGAGCACTGCATTTCCTAAATACATACTTTTACTCTGGATTTTTACTGTGATATTTACAGTTAGAAACTAGAATTCAGATAAACACTATAAATACCTCTGCTAGCTTTTTTTTTTTGATGTTTTGATGCACATGATGCTTGATGAACCAGTTAAAGAGGTGTTGTTCCTGTATT